AGACAACACGGCCTTAGGAAATCTGAGGCACCAACACTGCAATAGTCTGATTATACGAATCTATCGCAAATGCAACCAACAACAGAAACTAGTGCAACATAGTATTAAAAGCTGTTAGCAAGGCCTTCGACAAAGTATGGCATGAAGGACTCAAATATAAGATTACCCAACTCGAAACAAATGATAAAAATCAGAACAAGCAGAGAAATCGAAACCATACACAACTCCGAAAGTAAATGGAAAATTAAAACAAGCATTCAAAACTCAAGACAATATATTTGACGAAAACTAAACCCTATCTCATCACTGTCAATAACCAAAATGTACCATGCGCAGATAATGGGGAATCCTTGGCCTTAAAATGACTAGAAACTGCATACTCCCACATATCAAAGAAGGAATCGCAATAGCCAAGACCCAACTAACTAAACTCAGAAGATTCTTTAAACTAAATACCAGTATTTTTTTTTTACTGGGATTAGCCCACCCGGTGACAGGTCACTGACCCACATCGGGGCCTTGGGGGCGAAAATGTAATAATAGTAAAAATAATAATAATAATAATAATAATGATTATAATAATTATTATAATTATAATAATTATAATATTTATTATAATTATAATAATTATAATAATTATTATAATTATAATAATTATTATAATTATAATAATCATTATAATTATAATAATTATAATAATTATAATAATTATTATAATAATTATTATTATAATTATTATTATGATAATTATTATTATAATTATAATTATAATAATTATAATTATAATAATTATAATTATAATAATTATAATTATAATAATTATAATTATAATAATTATAATTATAATAATTATAATTATAATAATTATAATTATAATAATTGTAATTATAATAATTATAATTATAATAATTATAATTATTATAATTATAATTATTATAATTATAATTATAATTATTATAATTATAATTATTATAATTATAAATATTATGATTATAATTATTATAATTATAATTATTATAATTATTATAATTATAATTATTATAATTATAAGTATTATAATTATAAGTATAAGTATTATGATTATAAGTATAAGTATTATAATTATAAGTATAAGTATTATAATTATAAGTATAAGTATTATAATTATAAGTATAAGTATTATAATTATAAGTATAAGTATTATAATTATAAGTATAAGTATAAGTATAAGTATAAGTATAAGTATAATAATGATAATAATAATAATAATAATAATAATAATAATAATAATAATAATAATAATAATAATAATAATAATAATAATAATAATAATAATAATAATAATTAGTTCATAGTAAATAAAATTGACG